ACTAACGGGACATACAGTCAAAAGTCATTAATTCGGACACCCATAATCCGGACCTCAAAGCTACAAACTTTCTGCGCATGCGTCGCGTTCACGCATGCGCACAGGCGTTTACGAGAGCGCATAAGACCCTTACAGCTGCGAATATGTTTGTGCGCATGCGCGTTTAATGTGTAACAGAGTTATACGCTAAGCTAAAGTTATCTAATTCAGTTAATGTTGCAGATTGCGTTGTTCCTTAATCTTCGAATTGGATCCGGCTTATTATTTTTTGCAGACTGTTAGAGCAATTTTATAAAAGTAAGCTTGAACTTTCGATTATGTCAAATAGAATTTCCGATATATATTTTACTACAAAGCGAAAGTATGTTTTGAAATCCGAAATCTGTTTATCAATTTCACGCTGCTGCTGCGCAGAGGGGGGGGGCAGAAACGTCATTATTAGATTATGATAGATTAGAAAGATTATGTCAAATAGAATTTCTGATATATATTTACTAATATGTAATTTGTAATCTACAAAGCGAAAGTATGTTTTGAAAATCCGAAATCTGTTTATCAATTTCACGCTGCAGATTGGAAGTTGATCTGTCAGCACTATCCTTATCTTCAGAGCAGATGTTTTTATTTTATTTGGTTTTATATTCCGTACTAAGTGTAGTATTTCATCTCGATATACTCCGTCTTTGATATGATTTAAAACAAGTTCCTCGTCATTATAATTCGTCTTCGATAGCGAAGAAAGTGACAGAGGTTATTGAAAACAAAAACATTTCGATTGACAAATTAGTCGGTATTCTCAACACAGCAATTATAGGACTTGAACAGCGGAACTTTGTAAATAAACAAGAAATTATGTCTGTTTAATAGAATTAAAGAGAAAGTATTATCACATGAAACGAAGCAACTTACATTGAAGGAAATGTTTAATAAAGTAAACAAATAAATATTAAGCTTTTTCTTTTTGTAAATTTTGATACCCTTTAGATCATAATTGTTCTTTATTTCATAAATTACGGTTTCATATTTTTAATTTTGTAATTTCTGCATGCCATCTTACCAGATTTAAACTGATGATCTATAATCCGGAATCGCCGAAGTGCCGACGAGTCCGGATTAACGACTTTTGTCTGTATATGTCCCACTAAAAAGTTTAAAAGTACTTAGAAAGTCACTGTTAAGTATCCCAGTCGTAGAATCAAACCAGTTGTGCATGTTTCATCTTTTGTTACCCAGCAGCTCACCAAATGACACTGTTTTGGCCACCAAATGCCATTAATTTTTTTTAAATACATAGTCAAAGTGGTAAAAGAGGAAATAAGAAAAGATTCTGTGTATCATACTTATTGCTAAGCCTTTAACCAGAGAATTTTATGACTATGAATTTATGAATCATGCCAACACATGAGTGACATTAGAAGTAAAGTTATTTCCTCAATGGCTTATTGGGTGCTGAATCATGCCATTTAAAAATACATAAAAAAAGTACCTGCATGCATTATTTTTGTACAAAACTATATCAAGAATAAATATATTACAATTTGGGTACAGCGATATTATTATACAAACTATATATTTCAGAATTCTATTCAGAATTCTAACTATGTATTTCAGAATTTCAGATTTCAGATTTTAAAAACTATATATTTCAGAATGTTTTCCCCATATCATCTTTGCATAATCTAGCCAGGATATCCTTCACTATGTCTTGTTTGGCTTATTCGGTGGTATAAACATCTTTGATAAATGAAAATCATAATGTGACATGTTTCAACTATAATTTTGCTATATGAATAAAAGGAAATTTGTCATCATTATATGCAAAAAGTATTTTGATAAGCTATGCTATAGTTTTCTTTTTATATGGCTAATAGACAAGCATTTGATTTTGCTTATTAATGCATGCCATATATCCATTACATTAAAAATGGTTTTTCATTTCATTTTGCCTGCTTGTCGCTTCTACAACATCATTTTTATATTCATTAGCAATCATTACACTACTTACATTTTGCTACTGTTTGCCTTTTTTTTCAGTAGTCCCCCCCAGCCTCTTTTAGAAATCTGTTCTTGTTCTTTCTGATCATTCCAATACAACATGATTTTCCATCAGCAAGACTACTTTTCCATCACAAGTAGTCAGGCAACTTGAATACCTGGGAGTCATCGTAGATGATAAATGTTTATCGATTCCCCCTATCAAGTATTTTAAAGGTAAACTACATAAGATTTCAATATCCATATTGAGTATAGCTGCATGTACCTGAGCAGCATCCCCGTGGATATTGAAAGTTCGATGATTGCTCACAGTAGTGGAGCTTCTTGCAGCAAGACATTTCACCAGTTCACAATGATTACAATAACTGGCCATAAATACACTATGTTCTATATCTCAAATATCATGGGCATCTTTGGGAGGAAAGAATTCCTCATCACTGTCCTAATTATAACTAAAATCACTTGGGTAATTGTCTGCTAGCTCGGTCAACATATCTGCAATTTCATCAGAGGCCTTTTATTTTGCACGTTTCCTTACTTTTGATGTGAAGGCCCAGCAGAACTAGCATTTGTACATATTACATTTTTTCCCAATAAGTAACAAAGGAATTATTTTGAAACCACATACACTTACTACTAGCTACTAAAGGCTCCGAGTGAGCCCCCAGTGACTTTCGGCGAGCCCCCCTCGTCTGAGCAGCTCAAACCGAACATTAATCAGAGTGGACTGACAACTCGCCTCTGTTTGTTTGCAAAATGGATACCGACATGCAAGTTGCTGTGCTTGAAGTTTGTGAAGCAGTTTCTAACAAATTAATTTCTGTTCTAGGGGGGAAAAAAGAAGAAGAAAAGGAAACCAAAATGTGACTTTGTAGCTCGCCATGATGAACTGGGAGCATTAAATCAACTTTTAAATGAACCTCAGGGCAAGGATATCCAAAGTTACAAAAACTTCATCAGAATGAGTGAAGGAAAATTTGAAACTTCATTGGAAATGGTCACACCATTTATTCCGAAAGAAAAAATAAAAAAAGTGCTTTCAAGATGCTCTGCCAGCAAAATTAAAACACAGATAGCGCTTCGGTTTCTGGGAAAGGGTGACTCCTACAGTTCTCTGCAATATTTATTTCGAGTTATAAGGTATTTCTCCCTCTTCCCTAGCATGCCTTCGTCGTATAATGGTAGCACCCTGGGCCGGTATTCCAAAGGTCCGTGGTTCGATTACCGGCGAAGGCGTTCGCTATTTTTCATCTTTTCTGCCTCTAAAAAAATCATAATGACTCTACAAGTGGCGCCCAAACTAAAAAGGGTTGTGGATGATGATTCTCCGCATCCAGGATTTGGCGACTAAGTCCCCTAAAACCCTAGTCGCCCTTTAAAAAGAGGAGTATATAACGTAGTTCTCCCACTTCCCTAGCGTGCCTTCGTGGTGTAAGGGTAGCACGCTGGGCTGGTATTCCAGAGGTCCGTGGTTTGATTCCCGGTGAAGGTGGTTGCATATTTTTCATCTTTTCTGCTTCCAATTAACCTAATGACTCTACAAGTGGCGCCCGAACTAAAAGGGTTGTGGATGATTCTCTGCACCCAGGATTTGGCGACTAGGTCCCCTAAAACCCAAGTCTCCCTTTAAAAAGGGGAGTATATAAGGTAGTTCTCCCACTTCCCTAGCGTGCCTTCGTGGTGTAACGGTAGCACGCTGGGCCGGTATTCCAAAGGTCCATGGTTCAATTCCCGGTGAAGACATTAGCTATTTTTCATCTTTTCTGCCTCTAAAAAAATCCTAATGACCCTACAGAGTGTCAAAATGCACAATCAGCATATTTATTCTAGGAGTATTTCAGGACATTTTCTGTGTATGAACTTGAGTGAAAATTATTAATCTTTTGCTTGAACTCTCCAACACCCAAAAATTTTAACATGTTAATAATAGCCTCATATGCCTTCTGTCGGCGATTTTCATTTTAATAGTTCCAACTGATTGAATGTAAATAAAATTTAATTTTTAGTTCAAATGAAAAGGAAAGTCTATAAAACAAAATTTCAAAATTTTAGATTATATTTTGTTAGATGTAATTGGCCATGAGTAGAAACTGGTTTTTTGAAATTTATATTGACATAATAAAATAAATCTTTGCCCTTTCACTTATTTTTTTACTTGAAAACTGTATGTTATTGAGTAGTTAAATAACATATAATTTAATTGTTTTTTTTTGATTAAAGAACATTCAGAAATAGTTTAAAATAAACATTTTGAATCTGATACCCTAATTTAATTTTCTACGTTTTTTCTACAATATCAAAAATCTAAATTCATTCTGATCAGTAGTTATATCCACATTATATTGAGGTATTAGTAAACAATGGTCATAATATTCAGGTAGTGAAATTTCCCATAATACTTCACAAGATGCATATGCATTAAAAAGTGCCACAGCTAGATTAGCATTCCATCTCGAAATTTTCGATATGACGAAAAAATTTGGCACGAAATCTCTGCGAACACTGCTTGGAGTTACTGCCCGGATAGATTTTCAGCTGGTTCAAAGTAGAAATGGACTAGTTGACTTATCTCCCCTACGTTTCTATTTGGACGAAGTGAGTGTTTACATTGTCAAAGTAGTTGTAGCAAGGGGTTCGAACAGGTGTAAACTGGCCTTAACCCTTCAGACGAATACCATCACATATCTTCAAAATGTAATGCCAATTTAACTGGAGAATAAACAATGAGATGTAGTTTTTCCTGCACCAGTGCATGATTGGCTTTTCAGCAATAATGCCACTTCAAGCATCAATACATGACTGGCAGTGAACATTTTAAGTATACAGGAAACTGGATGGAGCCAAAAGGTTCATTCATTATAGCTAGGTTGAAATGTATTACTATTACTCTGATACACCATAACTTTTCTGTGATAAAGTTACATATACAAATCTACAAAGCATTATGATCTATATCATATTTATTATAGTGATGCATGTTAAGAATATTCAAATAAAATTATTTATTAAAACAAATACCTTGATTTTTGTGCAGCTTTCATATTTGAAGCTCTTTTTTGTTGACAACTTTTAACCTGCATTGTCTTTTTTCTGGGAATATCAGGGTTCAAATTTGGCTTTTCTTGTGTTTTTGACAATGAAGCCAAATATGCCTTCCTTGCAACAGTTCTGTGCTTCTGAAATTCACACAAATAAAAAAGCTAAAAATATGCATAAAAAGTTATATTTTATGATTCAAAAGATGTTTTCACAAAAGCACACTTAAAAATGAAAACTGCAATTACAGTATAGAAATTAGCTAATACAGTACAAAGTCTGTAATCCGGACTCGTCGGGACTTCCCGGATTATTCCGGATTATAGATCATCAATTTAGATTTGGTAAGATGGCATGCAGAAATCATACAATTAAAAATATGAAACCGTAATTTATGAAATAAAGAGCAATTACGATCTAAAGGGGTATCAAAATTTACAAAAAAAAAAAAAAAAAAAAAAAAAAAAAAAAAGCTTAATATTTATTTGTTTACTTCATTAAACATTTCTTTCAATGTAAGTTTTTGTTTTTAAGTTTGCTTGCTTTTCGTTTTTTTGTGTGCTAATACTTTTCTCTTTAATTCTATAAAACAGACATAATTTCTTGTTCGGTTCCACTGCTCAAAGTCCTGTAATTGCTGTGTGTCGAAGAATACCGACTAACTTGTCAATCGAAATATTTTTGTTTTCAATAACCTCTCTGTCACTTTCTTCACTATTGGAAGCGGCACATCGAAACATGCTTTCGCTTTGTGATCCTTTGGCAGCTCCAGAATTGGAAACTCTTTTTGACATAATCGAAAATTCAAGCTTAATTTTTAGAAGATTGCTCTAACAGTCTGCAAAAAATAATAAGCCGGATCAAATTAGAAGATTAAGGAACAGCGCAATCTGCAAAATTAACTGAAATGTCTTAGAATCAGTAAAGATAATTTTAGCCTAGCTTATACCGTCTGTTATACATTAAATGTGCATGTGTAAAGCATGCAAAAAAAAAAAAAAAAATGTTTGTGGCTTTGAGGTCCAGATTATAGATCATTTTGGATAATAAATGTCCGGATTACGGACTTTGTACTGCACTATATTTAGAATATCAGAAAATAGCACTAATAGAAAAAACCACTCAGTTTCATAATATATTTTGAATAGACTCATGCCTTCACTTTCGCAGTCATAACAGACAATTTTTTTTTTTTTTAAATTAATGAATAAACCAGTTTACAAGTTATAAAACAGCATCAAGATAGAAGAAGCCATGATATATCAAAATACAGCACTCTAAATGTGCCAAATACTCTTTTGCCAAGGTAGTCTTGGCTATGAACACAATATGTTTGATTTAGACAAATGCTTTATAGCTTATTCAGTACTTTAATAGAAATGTGCCTTTTTATTATTCTGTTAACTCTTGAACTGCATATGGACAATTAAAGATACAGCATTTTTTTTCTTTTTCTTTATAAGACCGTATGGATAAGGCTCAAATTTTAAAACTCTTATTCTCATACATATAACAGTATGAATATCGAAAATGAGCAATGCAGCATGCATATATATTATTAGCCCTATAGGCTAATAGTCTCAAAATGCAGTTTTGCATCGATTCTCTTTAAGCTTTTTGATGGTCATGAATAAGCTCAGCTCGCAGTCCAGTTACATACTGCATAGCAAGATATAAGATACTTATCTTTCAAATTCACTCTGTCTGGTGTTGATGCCAGCAAAGAAAACTTTTAAAAACAACAGATGCACTTGATTTGGAGGTACTTACCATCTTGGAATAATTTGGCAGTTTTTTGAAGAAGAAAAAGAATGGTAATTTCAAATAGGAGAAAGTTATTTATTTCATATCATACATGTTATTAGGTACACTCTGCACAGGGAAAAAAAAAAAAAAAAAAGGAGTCAGTTCTATACAGTCAAAAGTCGTTAATCCGGACTCGTCGGGACTTCGGCGATTCCGTATTATCGATTTTTCCGGATTATAGATCATCAGTTTAAATCTGGTAAGATGGCATGCAGAAATTATAAAATTAAAAATATGAAACTGTAATTTATGAATATTTATTTGTTTACTTTATTAAACATTTCTTTCAATGTAAGCTGTTTACGTTGCTTCGTTTTTTATGTGATAATACTTTCTCTCTAATTCTATAAACAGACATAATTTCTTGTTCAGTTACAAAGTTCCGCTGTTCAAGTCCTATAATTGCTGTGTCGAGAATACCGACTAATTTTTCAATTGAAATTTTTTCATTTTCAATAAACTCTGTGTCACTTTTTTCGCTATCGGAAGCAAATTATAATGACGAGGAATTTGATTTAAATCATATCAAAGATGGAGTACATCGAGATGAAATACTACATTTAGTAAGGAATTATAAGCCAAATAAAATAAAAACATCTGCCCTGAAGATAAGGATAGTACTGATAGATCAACTTCCAGTTCATTGCGCGCTGCGATGTTTCCCCCTCCCACACACACACGCAGAGCAGCGTGAAACTGATAAACAGATTTCGGAATGGTTAGATAAACAAAGGATATGCCTTTATCCATTTTTTGCAGCAATTCCACTTTTTGTTTAATGGACTTCGAAACATACTTTCGCGTTGTAGATCCTTTACATATTAGTAAATATATATCAGAAATTCTATTTGACATAATCGAAAGTTCAAGCTTACTTTTATAAAATTGCTCTAACAGTGTGCAAAAAATAATAAACCGGATCCAATTCGAAGATTAATGAAGAACGCAATCTGCAACATTAACTGAATTAGATAATTTTAGCTTAGCTTATACCGTCCGTTATACATTAAACGCGCATTCGTAAACGTATTTTGCGCCTGTGTACATGCATATTTGCAGCCATAAAAGTCTTACGCGCATGCATCAACGCATGTGCATGTGCAGGAAGTTTGTAGCTTTGAGGTCCGGATTGTAGATCATTCCGGATTATGGGTGTCTGAATTAACGACTTTTGACTATATCTTCCATTCTACTGGGCCGACTAACGAAATATAACTTGCGTTTTTTATGTCTCAGTCTCAAATGCTAAAGGTATGTATTAAGTATATATATAGCACTGTTTTAGTATAGGAATTTTGACACATAACCGGACTTTTTTTGAAATGCCATACCAATTTTTTTTTCCATTTTTTAATTCTATGTCTCAAGTTAGGCCAAAATGCCAAGTTTTGTACAGTAGTTTTTAAAAAAAAAGCTCTAAAAATTTTAACTCCTCAATGTTAATTGATTTCCATATATATTTATCAGTATCTTTCTTTCATTAAACTTACCCGACTCCTTCTTTCCCAAATTGAAATTTAGGTTCAATCCAAATAAAATTCACCGATATTTTCTGATTATTTTTAAAATTTGTATTTTATAGTAATTTTTACAAATTTTTTCGAAGTTTTTTTTAAATTATAACTTACAAAAGTTTCACCATCAGTTTAAAGTAGATGCATTTTTAGGCATACCTGCAAAAAATTAGTTTTTTTTTTTTTTTTTTCCAAATTTCCTTTGATATATGTAAATTTATATATTGGTGCATTTTGAAACTTGACATATTTGTTATAAGCGATATTAATGCCATATGAAGTGTATGCATTTGTGAAAATTATTTGAAAGAATGAAAGATTTACCTTTTTTTCACTCGTGCACAATAAAAGGAAAAGGAAAATAGGTTACCATACATAAGAATTCCATAAAGTGAATTATTCTTGGCACAAACTGGTTTGGTTTATTTTGTTATGTTAGCACTCAAGGGCTATCTGCCTAAGGGGAGGGATGCTTTCGTGGAGGACTTTCTAAGGGAAACTGGCTTGTAAATACATCATACATGGGAAAACCATGATAGCGCCCATGAAGCCAGCCTGTTTGCAAGGTTTCAAATCCTGGATCGAACTAACAGTGTTCAGTGATTTTATTGTTTGGCCGTTGGTGGGCCTGGTGCTAACTGGAAAAAGGGCATCAAGATAAATTTTTAAGTTTCACAGTACGCTTCTTACCAAAGTTTAAAAAATTTAACATTTACGCATAATTTTAGTCGTAGAACCGAAATATGGAAAAATGTTGGTATGTCATATTATAAAAACTCAATTTTGTGTTAAAATACCTATGTTATATTATATCAAAATCTAATATGCGGGGTGTTAATAAAGTCCCAGACCCATTTTGATGTTTAACAACTCATAAAATAATGAAGATATAAACAAACTTATGGCATTTATTGATGGAATAACTTATATATTTTCCTTTTCAGGTTTGAATATCTTTACTTCTGTAAATATCGTCTGCTCGTGTGGTTAATTTCAGATAATTCCATTTTCCAGTCTAAATATCTGTACTTTTCTAAATATCATATGCTTATTAATTGCATTTTTCTCTCTTTTGTTTTTGGTAACTATTGCAATGCTATGTTTACTTTTGATGTGTTTATTCTAGTACTTTTGTATGTGATGTTTTATTTGACCGGATATTAAGGAGAATGATCACAAGAGAAAGCACAGATTTTATGATGGTTCATAGAAACGAAATCCATAATGCAAACACAGAGAAATTGCAGAAGAATTTACCAAAAAAGATCCTCCATCTAAAAGCAGCATCTTGCGGTGGAAAAAGAATTTTCTAGAAACTGGAAGTATCGCAGATAAGAAACGTTTCGGACGTCCCTCCACAAGTGATTTTGTTGTTGAGCATGTCAGAGAGACATTTTTACAAAATCCTAGGAGATCTGCGAGATCAGCGGCAAGAGAATTGGATATGCCAATTTCGACGGTGCACAAGGTTATTAAGAAAAAATTACGACTGCATGCATACAAAGTTCAAATTGTTCAAGTTTTGGAACCAGACGTTAGGCCTAGGAGGATGGCCTTTGCAACAGATATGTTAAGGAGGATAGAAGATGATGCTGTATTTCTGAAGCTCATAATGTTCTCCGATGAAGCATCCTATTTTCCTGGCATTGTTAATCGCCATAATGTGGGCATATGGGGATCTGAAAACCCCCATGTATACCGTGAGGTACAAAGGGATTCCCCAAAGGTTAATGTGTGGCGTGGACTAATGCATGACCGAGTCATTGGGCCTTTCTTTTTTACAGAAAAGATGGTCTCATCAGTCATATACTTAGACATGT